GGATGTATAGATGTTTCTTGTTCCCGATACCACTTGCTGCTAAATTGTCGGCATGGAAGAATATGACCACACAGATTATTATGAGAAAGATCAATGAAGCTTAATATCTCTAGTTTGCACAGCTGGCTTGGGATTTCACCTTCTAGATTATTATAACCTAAAAGAAGAAAGCTCAACTGGAACAAAGAACCAATTGACTCGGGAATTTTACCTCCAAAATAATTATGGCTAAGATCTAATCTGTTCAGCGACAGGCAGCCATCAAATGCATCAATCAGTGATCCTTCTAGTTTATTTTTAGATAAATAAACTTCTGTCATCATCCTTGAAGAACAAAAGCTGGATGGTAGACTTCCAAAAAGATTGTTCTCTGAAAGGTCCAAATATTCAAGAGAAGACATATTCCTTATCCATCTCGGGATCTTACCAGATAAATTATTGTGACTAACATCCAATGCTTTCAATCCAGAAGCATTAGACAAGCTATTCGGAAGAATCCCAGTTAACTGATTCCCTCTTAATATCAGCTCTGTCAAATATCTTAAGTTGAAATTTTTCCAGAAAAGCTGGCCTTTGAAATAATTATTTGAAAGCATGATAACCTCTAATGATAAACAGCCTTCCACCAACTGCTCGGGTATGTGGCCTGATAAGCTATTGTTGGACAAATCTAAGACTTTCAAGAGGCTCATATTACTGATTGAAGAGGGAATGCTGCCATCGAAATCATTTCTGGACAGGTTCAAAAACACTAACCTGGGGAAACATGCTCCAATTTTAGTAGGGATTTGACTGTGGATGAGATTTCTCGAGATATCCAAATGTGACAGCCTCACAAGGGAATGATTTGCTAATTGGAAAGATCCTGAAAGAGAATTGTTGACCAAATAAAGCTCTTCAAGTTTTGTGTTGTTTTGTAACAACCAGCTCGGAAATTCTCCTGTCATTTTGATGTGTGAGAGATCAACAAATTGAAGGTCATGCTGATAGTACAGGGATTTCGGAAATGTCCCGCCGAGTCCAGTACGTGACAAAGAAAGCCTCTGTAACTGGAACCTTGGAATTAAATTGTGTACCAGCTCTGTTGACTCGTATATCTCATTATGGTCACCATCCAAAAGCTTGAGTTTTGAAAGGTTAAAAAAGGGGCCAAGTGAGATTGGGATTTGGAAGTGATTGTGTGAAAGTCTTAGATCTTGAATGGACGTGAGACTTCCAATGGGACTCAAGGATATATTCCCAGTGAAGTTATTGAAAGAGATATCTAAAACTTGAAGGTTTGTCAAATTCGAGAAACACGAAGGCAAAGAACCAGTGAGATCATTATAGCTGATATCTAGTTCCTGGAGATGCTTTAACTCACAAAGGCCTGCAAATTATCCATGTTAAAAGAAATTTAGCATACAATAATGTAATGGAAACTGTAGGATCGTACAGAGGGCGAGTAACATAGGATTAATGAAGGCTCTTCTTACATGCGAGGACTAGGAAACTATTACTAAACTAGTTATATGGCTCTGCATTGAGGTAGTAATATAATGTGGCTGTTTAATTATTCACATGTAATCAATTTCTTAATGATTTGATTATATTTGAAATTGGTTTGAAGAGATTTTTAATTGGTGTTTAGTTTCAATTTTTAACTTTTTATTCTTAGTATCAATTTTTATTTAGTTTTTAATAATTTGAAATTGGTTAAGATATTTTTCCCTAAAACAAAAATAAAAAAGAAACAAAATTATATATATAATTTTCTTGATGCATTTAGAATGACATTCTTATTACTCTAAAGAGATGCTATTGTATCAATTGATTTTGTAATTTTATTAAGAAAGAAAAAGCATAATTAACAAAATGATAAAGTTTCAAAAATTACATAATTCAAATCCTGTATTATCATAAACTTTTAAACAACTTGGAGGACTTATTAATAAAGATTGAACTAGTGTAAGAGATGATTTTCTTCATTATTATTATTTTTACATTTTATCTAAAAATATCTAATATAAATTTTAAATAATTCAATTGGTTTATGTGATAAATAAACTAAATTCAAACTATTTATTTAAAACCTCTTCTCATATTTTTCTCTTTTTTTAACTTTGGCATGAATAGTTTATTTTTTCTACTTTTTGTCTATACATAGAGCTAAAGAAACCCAGTTTACATGTTAAATCTTTTATTTTATTGGTTTAATGGTAAGAGATATCCTCAAGCTAGTTTGAACGTCGATAAAATTAAGTTCTCTCTGTATAATTTTATATGCATGTCCCCACAGCCTCACATTGGCTTGTGCATTCATATAAATTTAATACAAAATATGGGTTTAGGTTTAAATATATTGACTATTAAACAATTCATATCTTTCCCATTGAATACACTTAGAATTGCATCCCTTTCTCATTTGTTTGTGTATATAGGTATTTATCCAATATTTCACTGAAAGTCGTATATTTTTTAAAAAGAAAATTGGATATACAAGCTATTTTAATATGTTTTTTTATATAAAAAATTCAAAATGTAAATCAAAACACTTATTCAAGTATCTAATTAAATAAATCGATAATCATCCATGTAAATAAATAAAAAATATTGTTACCGATAGCTATAAAAAAATTAAAAAAATTAAAAGATAGATGCAGATTAAGATATTTGATCTCATAAAATAAAATATTTATCCAGTTGTATTTACTGAATTTATTTATTAAAATCAATAAAAAATAATAAAAATAAAAACACATATGAAACCAATTGATTAAAATAAAAATAAAAATATTTTTTTTAAATAATATAAAACAATAAAATAAAAAAATAAAATAAGCAAGAAAAAAGAATGTTGAACCGTATTAACTTTAAAATTTATGACCTGGATCATTAGTTTGGAAGCATTATAAATGAAAAAGTCACGAAGCTCGATCCCTGAGAAATCAGAAGCTAAAGGATAAAACTGATAAAAAAATTAATCATAAAAAAGGATCGAAATAAAATATATATATATATATATAATTAAAAGAATGAGGGTAAAAATCAAAATAAAAAATAGTCTAAAGGGCAAACAAAAATTTTCAATTGGAGTGTTAAATTGAAAAGAAAAATAACTTTCACAAATAAAAATAATGAGGATCAAATTGAAAAAAATAAAATAATATAAACCTTGATTGAAATTGAAAACTAATAAAATTTTAACAAGAAAACTAAGGTAAAAATAGAAATTAAAAAATAAAGATCGAATTGAAAACAAAATATTTGACAAAATGTAATTGAATAAGTAAATTGAAAACAAACAAAACTTTTATAAAAAAAATAAAGAATGAAAATAATAAATAAAAAGAATAAGTATTATTTTCCATTGATATGAAAAACAAATATATTATCCTTGTTCATATATTTATCTAAAGAAAAAAATCCATATCCTTATTTTTTTAATAATATACTATTAAAGATTCCTAATTCCATGTATTAAATATTCTTTTCTTATATACATGTTTAGTTCTTCTAATAGCTTGACAAAAATGCTACGAGTCCAAGATTAACTTAATTTATTCCTATAGTTTGAGTAAATTTGAGTTTAAGAAAATAAGTTATTCATATTAATAAAGTAAAGAATTTGTTTTTAGAAAAGGCAAGCATGCTATCCTTGAAAAAACATGTGGAAGATGATTATGAGATAATTACGTAATTCCTTGCTTCTCTATAATTAATTAAAGTAGGTGTTTTATGTGAAAGCACAAAAAAACCAAATAAATTTTAGAAGTATTATTAAAATACATATAAAATATTAAGAATATTTTAGAAAACAAATGATAGTTGTGGAAGTGTGTTGCTAGTAGTAATTATTAAAAGGGACTTATTATTTTCATGTATAACATCAGTTTTGATTATTTAATTCCAATTAACTATGTAGTTTCGAGACTATATTCTAAAATTACAAACAAAAAATAAAATAAAATAAAATCATTTTATCACTTGTAAAAAAAACTAGTAATATATATATATAAAGGAATATATGTAGGCATGTAACCTTTTGTGTCTATTGATCCGTTCAGTTGATTACGAAGATATAGATGCTTGAGAGATGAAAATCCTTTGAAGAATGATGAGGTGCTATCGTTGATTTTATTGTAGCTTAAATCAAGAGTCTCTAATTTGTTAAGCTTTGGTGGTGCTTCATAACCTGCATGATATTTATAACAAGTGATTAGTGATTGATTTTTTTAAAAAAAATTACATTTTAAATCCTAAATAATCATTTTTGTCTTCAAAAAATTTTAATTAAGAAACAAGTCTTTGATTTGAAAACCATCTACATGATTATCACTCATTTCAAAATTATTAATTATTTGAAGTGTAGTTGTAAATAGAAAAAAAAAATAATAGATATCAAGCTAAATAATTATTCATCAGATAAGTTAGGACCTGTTTGAGAATTTGTATAGTAAAGTTCGCATTTTAAAAAAAAAATTGAAAATATATAAAAATATTTTTTTATTTTTAAAAATTTATTTATAAAAAAAATCAAAAAATAAAAAAAATAACAATTCAATAATAACACCAAGCAGACCCAAAATCTAAAATAATATTGTGATGTACCTTGATTTAAATAAAGAAAGGTAGAGGTTTGGTATAATTAATATATTATTCACACTTTGGCACAACTATTTAATTAATTAATAAAATAGAGAGAAATATATCTTTTCAGGTCACGTAAACAAAAAAACAATAACATGATTGGTCTTTTTTATGGTAGGAACATGACCTACCTATCCCTTCCTTTCTCGTCTTATTTTTTTGGAATTAAAATATAATAAAAATAAAATTGAAACTAAAATAAACTCTAAAGAGATCAAATATACTTATTCTAAAACTTGAAATATTAAACTTAAGATGGATATTGGACACTAAGGTTAAATATAGGGTACTTGAAGTAAAAAAAATAGATAAAAATAAGAATAAAAATAAGAAATAAAAAAGTTATTAAAAAGCCTTTAATTAATTGATACCTGTTAAGGCTACAAAATCTTGGATCTTATTTCCAGCTAGCGATAGCTCCTTCAAGTTGCTCAATGAATCAAATTCTGAGTTAAGAAAATAATACAAAAGATAAAAGTTAATATAAAACTCTTAGGTCTCTTATTCTCAAATTGAAACTTGGGATTAAATTCATAACTTCATATCAATTCTCAAATTGTTAGACTTTTTATTCTCAAATTGAAACTTATGAGTATCAATTCGTGTGGGTCTAAATACCTTTCATGTTTATTGATCCTTGCAACTGGTTGCCATCAAGATCTAGATATTTAAGAGATGAAAGCCCTTCGAGAGATGATAGGATGTTATTGTTGAAGTTATTAAAGCTTAAATCGAGAGTTTCTAATTTGTTAAGCCTTGATGGTCCTTCAGAGCCTGCATGAAATTTACAGCCAGCGGTTAGTGATTAATTTCAAAATCAATTATATCTCAAATCCTAAATATTCAATTAAGAGACAAATCTTTGATTTGGAAACCAACTACATGATTATCACTCACCTCAAAATCGTTAATTATTTGAAATATTGAGAAAAAAAATTGTAGGTTAATCCAATGGTTTGGTAATAAACTAAATTTAATGATTATGATACATCACCTAATTAGAATCTATTTGAAAGGGTAGTAGAAATTTTATTTTAAAGTATTTATTATTTAAAAATATATTAAAATAATATATTTTTTATTTTTTAAAATTTATGTTTGATATGTGCACATTAAAAAAATAAAATAAAAAATAAAAATATAGAGAAAATACGATTTAACTACAACACCAAATAAACTCATAGTAATTGTTTGGCATTGAGATTTAATTTGTTTTTAATCAAAATTTGATTATTGGTTTCTACTTTGAGTTAATTTTTTACATTATTTTGAAATTATTTTAATTTGTTAATGTGAAAAATAAATTTTAAAAAATAAAAAATAGTTTTTTTATACATTTTAAAATATTAAAAAATAGCATTTGCTATACTTTCAGACTCCCAGTTGGTTAATTTATCAAACCACTTGGAGTTAATATATTTATAGGGTAGCAACAAGCAAATGACAGAAGAGCCCTTTCACTGGACTATGCACCCAAAGTCGCTAGAGGTTAATAGTAAATGGTAGAATTAACCGGTAGAGGCTCCCCGCCCCCTCAACCAAGTATGGTGACTAAGTATGGTGTTGTAGCTTGATTTAAATAAAGTTACATAGAGGTCTGGTATAATTAATATTTTATTCACATATTTGCATATTTATTTAATTAATAAATAAAATACCAAAAGAAAATGTGGTTTTATGATGTTCCACCACAAAGTATTATTTATTGAAATAGTACTTATTTTAATTTATATTTTTTTTAATTTTAATTTTATATTTCAACTAGTAATTGAAATTTATGATTTTTTTATTTAATAGAGAAAAATATGTTTTCCTAGGCCATACATAAAAAAATCATAATTTTCGATTGATTTTTTTCACGTTACCGACATATCCCATCCTCCTAACTTTTTTTTTTTAGAATTGGAATATAATAAAGATAAATTTTAAATCAAAATAAATACTACAAAGAAAAAATATACTTAAAACTTGTTTTATTTTTATTTTTAGTTTTTGCATTTTAAAAGTATTTAATTTTTTTAATTTTTTTTTTGTTTATTTTAAATTAATTTTTTTTATATTTTTAGATTATTTTAATATACTAATATTAAAAATATTATTTTAATATAATTATTTTAAAAACAACATTAGTATATAGACTTGAAAGATTAAATTTAAGATGGATGTAAAGCACTAAGGTTAAATCTAGGGTGCTTGAAGTGTAGCAAATTCTAGGTTCAAGATGTCCTAAATCGAGGTCGATATGGTTGAGAATCAAGTCGGTATTGAGTAAAGGTTACAATGACACCTCCCAGTTTTGGATTTCCACTAATTTAAATATATGATTGAGACAAAGGGCATTGTGTTATTTATTAAAAATTGAAGACAAGCACACACAAAAAAAGAAAGTAAAAAGGAGAAATAAAATAGTTATCAAACAATCCTTAATTAATTGATACCTGTTAGGGCTATAAAATCTTGGATCTTATTTTCGAACAGCCATAGCTTCTTCAAGTTGGTCAATGAATCAAATTCTGAGTTTAAGGAAATAATACAAAAGAGAAGAGTTAATACAAAACTCTTATGTTTTTTATTCTCGAATTGAAACTTGTAGGGATCAATTCATAACTTCATATCAAAAAATAGAACCTGTATGTGTCTAATATTTTAACTCTTTTTCAATTGATTGTGATGATGTGTATGTGTGGTTTCAAGTACCTTTTGTGTTTATTGATCCTTTTAACTTGTTGTTATAAAGATATAGATATTTAAGAGATGAAAGCCCTTTAAAAAATGATAGGATGTTATTGCTGAAGATATTGTCACCCAAGTCAATAGCCTCCAATTTTGCAAGTCTTGACAGCCTTTGGAAACCTGCGTGCATGCAAGATTTCTAGTTACTTGCTAGGGTAAAAAGCTAAAAACATTATTTGATTAATTAAAAGAATAAATCGATTTCAGTTTATATATGTTTATTTTCGTGCTAAAATTATGAAAGATGAAGTCTTTAATGAAGAGGCAAACCTTCATTCGCAACACAGCCAGCTATGCCATTTCCAGCCAAGTCAAGAACTTTGAGTTCTTGGAAGGGAAGAAATAGAGATGCATTTAGGTGCCAATCTCCCATAGATGAGTACCAATATCTTGCGTAGGAAAGATCGATTTCGACGACTCGTCTTGTAGTGGAATTGCTGCAGGTTACTCCTTTCCAACTGCAACAGAGGGCATCCTTTCCCCAAGAGAATAGCGGGGATGCAATGTCATTGTCATTTGGGTGTTTTGCAAAGAAAGTTTTGATTTGCAAAAGAGCAATTCGTTCTTCCTCCAGACACCCTTGTGATAGAAGGATGGCATTAATTATCATTATCACCGCCACTGCTGGCAGAGAGAACCTGTTTAATCCCATTTGTACCTCTGTTTCTGCTTGAAATTAATGTATCAAAAACTTGTTAGGAGCCAAAGGCTCTTTATAGGGGAGAGCACCATGCATTGCCGTCCGGGTGTTCATGGAACGGCGGGCCCATCTCTGATCACGTGGATCTTTCATGGAAGGTGACTCAGTCCATCAATTTCCATGAAGTTTCAATTTTTGTTTTTTGTTTTAGAACACAATGTAAAATTATTACTCTTAAATAAAACTTGTTTAATCTTAAGACTTGCAGAAAACCATCAATATGTTGCACCTCATTTTTGATTTAATTAATTCTTATCAAAGAACATGCAATCCTGTTTCTTTTCTAAACCACTGTGAAGACAAGAAAGCACTTTGATCTTTTCCACGAGAATCTGCACAGGCAGTCATCAAAATAACGATGACCATTATAAAGAATTTTTCTTTTCTTTGTTTCATTGCTGGTCCGGCAAATCTTCACTTGTAAAGTTACCTGCACTTAAAAACTCAGGTGTTCTTGGGATTCGATTAATCAGGTAAAATCTAGTTTAAATTTGGTAAAATATTCTTTGATTTTTTTCTATTTTTAAAATTAAAATAATATATTTTTTCTACTTTTTTTAATATTTAAATTAATTCTCCTGACTTACTCAGAATATAAACCTTGCTCCATATTAACTCATATTAACTTTAATAATATTTAATAACTCTAATCTAATTTAAAAACTTAAAATATTAAATGAGATTATATGAATAGTTTTATATTAAATCTATAACATTATATATTATTTAAGAAATTGTTTGGAGTTACGGTTGAACTGTTATTTTTTTATTTAAAAAATTTACTTTAAATTATTTTTTTTGAGTAGTTTTGATGTAGTGATATTAAAAAAATAAATTGATTTTTTTTTAGTTTTTTATATAGTTTTAATATGCTAATGTAAAAAATAAATATTAAAAAATAAAAAAATCATTTTGACCATTGTTAACATTTTTATTTTCTTCCTTATTTTGGTAGTTCATTGAAATTTCTTGGAGTAATTTAATTAAAGAGAATTATAATTTGTTTTATTAATATAGATGTTTGGATCAGTTTGTGTGTATTTTAATTAATTTAATGAATTTTAAAACTAATAATTATATAAATTTTTAATAATTTTAAGATTTTTATAATTAAAATAAAATAAATGAAATTATTATTATTTTTAATTCGATCATAAACAAAGAAAATTAGTTTTTATTGTACATGATCTCCTATGCGGCGTGTGAGCTCATGTTTGATAACTTATTTGAAAATCAATAAAAAAATAAAAAATGCATGATTATGTTTGTGCTTTGTCGTCCCATATTTATTAATATGATTGTCGTCCAATAAAATCTATACCTTTGCTGGGCGACCCAGTTTGGAAGTCTAGCATGCCAAATTAATCCTCGTTGCGTAAAGAGGACATCTAGACATTGACTTGGAGTCACCTGACAAAATGAAACCAAGGTTTGATCTCGTTTCTTTTTTGAACGGCTGTGGAGGCCTGAAATATTTTATTTTTTTTTTAATTTTCTTGTTCATTACTGCTGTCTACATCTATCAGCCGTGGTGTCTTGGCAGTTGAATTGCAATATCACATCAAATGGCATATTTTCCACGTACAGTAGTGTCTCCTTTCTCTGGCTTATTGACCTCTTAATTCTTCGCTAGTGTTAGCATTTGCATCCATCGACATCAACAATTAATAGTGACACCAAGTGCTTGACTATATCCCATTTGTTTTTATATTTTAAAAAATAAAAATAAAAATAAATTTTACTTATTTTTTATTTTAAATTAATTATTTTAAATATATTAATATTAAAAATAATTTTTTAAAAATAATTATCACCGCAACTTCTTCAATCTCACCTTTGTAGCTATCACGTTGCTTCTACTCTTGTCCTCGTATTTAGAATACCAATGAGTGGCATTACCTGACTGTCAAATATATTAAAGCAGATTTAGTCACTTCGAAGGTGATTCAACCTATAAAATTATGGTTAATATAAGATGGAAAAATATTATTCAACATGAATAAAATATATGTAAATCACACAACTATTGTGCAAATACATAAATTACATTGTGCAATCCAAAAAAACACTTCAAGCATGAAAACTACATGAATAAATATTTAAATAATTAAACGAGAAGAAATAACATTTTTTTTATTCCCGGAGGAACCCGGAAAAAACACCGGAAACAGCGGCAGTGCCAGGTGTGCAGATACTGGATCGGGACAGGCTGAAGAAACAACGGAGGAGCATGACATGCACTCGGAAATGAATTATTTTAAAACATTTTTAAATAAAAAATATTTTTAAAAAAGAACCCTACATAAATAGTTAAATGCTATAACTATTTGTAAATATTTTAGATGGCTTTGTGTTGGATTGTTAGTGCGTTTAAAAAAAAACAATCTCTTAAATTAACGTGTGACGTTAATTTATAATATTTGAGAAGTAATTAATTATTAAAAAAAAAAAAAACTTAAATCATTTTCACCATTATTAACGTTTTTGTTTTCTTCCTTGTTTTGGTGGTTCCATGAAGTTTCTTGGAGTAATTTTCCAGCTGGCACTGACTGATTGCATTAGTTTTTTTGCCGTGGGAGACACCTTCAGCGTAAAGACCACTTCATTGGTCTATTTTTCAAGCGTCCACTTGCATCATTTTGCATTTGTCTCAAATTGATTGGTAGTTATTTATTTATCATCTTTTAGTTTGTATTAATCTTGAATGGTTATGTCTGATTTGAAAATTTATTTATGATATTAACACATTAAAAAAATTAATTTATAAATAAAAAATTTTAATTTTTTAAAAAACTATTTTCAAACACAAGAATAAATGGACACTAATTATAAAAAAAAAAAAACTAGTTATTTAGTTATGAGAACTAGAAATTTTAATTAATATTCAGAGTTTTATATAGAAAAAATAACATTTATTCTATACTTACTATTAAATATAAGTAGTTTAATGTCTGAAGGGCATCCAATGAATTAAGATTGCTTTTGATATTGTAGTAATAATTTTTTTAAAATTTATTTTTTATATCAATATATTAAAATAATCTAAAAACACTAAAAGAAATTAATTTAAAAATAAAAGATTTTAATTTTTTTAAAAGCAATTTTAAAACGTAAGAATAAATGTACACTAATTATAAAAATAAATAAAAACTAGTTATCTAGTTATGATAACTAGAAATGTCAGGTAGTATTGAGAGTTTTATATAAAAAGCTGATTATATAATAGAAAAAATAACATTAAAAAGCTGATTATAACAGTCGAGTCTTCTTTCTTCGGCTTATTGCCCTCTCAATTATTCGCTAGTGTTAGCATTTGCATCCATCGGCATCACTAATTAATAGTGACACCAAGAGGTTGAGTGTGTGTATATATTAAAAATATTTTTTAAAAAAAAAATTTAAATTTTATTTATTTTTTTACTTTAAATTAATTATTTTCTTATATTTTCAAATAATTTTGATGTCATATTAATATTAAAAATAATTATCACTGCTGGCATTACATGACCCTCAAATATATTAAAACAGATTTAGAGTGTGTTAAACAGCGTAGTTATAGTAATTTTTTAAATAATTTTTCATACTAAAACACATGTTAATAATATTTTTTTTATTTTTAAAAAATTATTTTTGATATTAGTACATTAAAACGATCCAAAACATATAAAATATATTAAATTTAAATAAAAAAAATTAAATTTTTTAGGAACACGGTTTGCACCGTGTTCCCAAACAGTGTCTTAATCACTTCAAAGGTTATTCTATATGGTTAATGTAAAATAGAAAAATATTATTCAATATAAATAAAATATATGTAATTCACACAACTATCATGGTGCAAGTACATAAATTACACTGTGCAATCCAAAATAACACTTCAAACATGAAACCTACATGAATAAATATTTAAATAATTAAATAAAAAAATAAAACTAAATCAAATAAAAAAACTAAGTTAAACAAAAAAAACCAAGTTAAACCAATTTAAATTGATTTTAAAAAAAAACGAACTAAATTAATAAATTTAAATATATTTCAGTTCAGTTTTAATTTTTTTTTTAAATTCAATTTAATTATTTTTTTAATTAAAACTAAACCAAACTAAAAATAATCAACTAATTTTTGTGGTTCCACGTAGTTTCTGGGAGTAATTTTCCAGCAGGCACTGGCTGATTGCATTATTTTTCTTTTTGCCGTGGGAGACCCATTCAGCGTAAAGACCACTTCATTGGTATATTTTCCAACGCATTAATTTAGGGGGGAAACAACTGAAAGGCAGCCATAAGAATACACTGATATTGTCTACTTGCACCATTTTGCATTTGTCTCGAATTAATTCAATGGTAACACGTTTGAGTGTCCCCATCCAAGGAAGGCTAGGAATTTTTCCTGAAATATTAAGTAATTATATAAATATTTTTTAAAATTAATTATTAATTTATATACATGAATTTTAAAGTTAGATGTAAAGTTTTAATTCAAATACACTATTTAAAATATTAAAAAATAAATTTAAAAGTGCATAAAATTAAAGTGAAAATAAATATAAACTCATTATTGAAATTTCATCCTTTGATGTTTTGTGGAAGATAATTCATCTATAATTGAATCTGAATCGATAATGTAACAACCTCTCTACCAGGATAAAATAATAATTTTATGTCAACTGAAAAATAAAGTACTTAAATTTTTTTCCTTTCTTAATTCCTTCCTCCTTCACTTAATTCTTTCTTAGATTCGTCAAAAAAACATCTCAATCCAATAGCTTAAGCTGTTAGGTGAGGTCACAGGATATAATTTATATTATTTTAAAATAATATAAAATAATATAAATTATATCCTGTGACCTCACCTAACAGCTTAAGCTATTGGGGTAAAATAGTTCTTTGACATGGTATCAGAGCCTTGATGATTAAGTGGTCACAAGATCGAATCTCATCATCCCCATTTATTTGATAAAAATTAAGCACAAGATAAAATAGATCAATGCAAGTTTCAAGCTCAAAGAGCTTTTACTTGAGAGGATGTGTTAGAG